GACTAAGATGGCTTTAGTATCACTAGGTGATGCCGTCACGTGAGACCACTGTTGTGTATGTGGTTCATTGTTGACCAAAACATCAATATACAGCACATGATTGGCCAAGATGTGAATAAAATATATAGTAAATATTTAAATGTAAAAAACTATGTTACAGTTAAAGACAGATTGCCACTAACCTCCCCCATAGATATATTATGCAACTGTAACTGAGAGAGCTGAAGTGCCTATAAAATACAACAGAATAGACATTAAGACAAAATTATTACTAAAGATAAATAAGAGTATTTTGTAGTGATAAAAGGGTCGATCTGTCAGAAACCATAACAGTTATAAACATGTATGCACCTAAAAACAGACCTCCAAGCCACATGAAACAAAATTAACAGAAATGAAGTGAGAAATGGACAATTCAACAATATTTGGAGGTTTCAGTGTCACTTGTAATAAGGGATAGAGAAGGTAGCAAGCGGGTCACCACGGAATTTCAAGACTCAGAAAGCACTGTAGACCGAGGAGGCTTACCTCAGTATCCTGTAGAATACTCTGCCCAACAATAGCAAGTTCTTCTGACGTGCATGTAAGGTGTTTTTCAGGGGCCTCATATTTTAGGCCATAAAACAAGTCTCGATAAATTTGAAAGGATTGAAGTGCAATGTCTGTTCTCTGACTATAGTAGAATGAAAGAAGTCAATATAAAAAAATTGGGGGGAATTAACAAATATGTGAAAGCAAACACTTTCTTAAATAACCAGTGGGTCAAACGAGAAGTACTTTGAGATGAATGAAAATGAAAATATAACATGCTGAACTTAGAACATGTGTAGCTGCAAATGCCTATATTAAGAAAGAAGACCTCAAAAAACAAAAGAGACCTCAGGCCCGGGTACAGCTCAGTAGCACCATGCCTGCCTGGCAAGCACAAGGTCCTGAGTTTGATCCCCAGGTCCAAAATAAAATAAAATAAAATAAAATAGACCTCACATCAATCATCTTCCACCTTAAACTAGAAGAACAGCAAACTAAGCCCAAAGCAAGCAGGAGGAAAAAAATAATGAAGGTTAGAACAGGAAAAAATGAAATGGTGAATAAAAAGGTCATGTACTGTTTGATTCCATTTATATGCGATGTCCAGACTATGCAAATCCATGCAACAGGAGTAGATCTGTGATTTTCAGGAGCTGTGGAGAGGGAGGGATGCGGGTGACTGCTAATGGATTTCTTTCTAGGGTGATGAAAATGTTCTGGAATTTGACAGTAGTAATGGTTGCAGAATATACTAAAATCCGCTGAGTTATAAACTTCAAAAGGGTGAGCCTTATGTTTTGTGAATTATATATCAATGCTAATAAAAATGGTTTTGGAACAGAGTTAATTAGGCAAAGAAAGTTGTGGGGGAGGGGCTTCAGAGAAACAGTTGCCACACACAAGTATTGAGGTGTCTGTAGACCACTAGGGGAGTAGAGGTGCCAGCGGGGTAGGGTAGAGGTACGGTATTATGCTAAGAGCAACTGGACTTCACTGGGGAGATTTGGGGAGTAGTTCCCTGGGAAGGCTGGCATTTTGACAGGCACTGTGACCCTAGTGAGGACAGAGTGGGGAGGGTCAGAAGGGATCTGAGAAGGTGACTGCAGTTGCTGAGGTGTGAGGAAGCTGAACTTTAGGGAAGCTTTCTGTTCAAGGTCACTCTGCTAGATGGAGCCACACACAGCCCTCCAGCACTGAAGCTTCTGCTCTCTCTGGCCAGGCCGCGGATTCAGATGCTCCCACACACTCGCATGAGCAGTGGCAGGGAGGCATGCATCTCGTTGTTTTTGTTCTGTTTTTTCAGTACTGGGGATTGAATTCAAAGCCTTCTCGCTGAGCTACACCCCCTTCCTTTAGGATTATGATCATGGTTTTTCATTTTGAGACAGGCTTGCTAAATCAGGGAGTATGCCCCCTACTGATCAGGCCGCCGAGGACTTGAGGCTCACTAGGGCTGGTTGCAGTGAGCAGAGACAGACAGAAAGGGAATTTGTTGCCAAGGCACTGGTTTATCTCACAGAAGCCAAGGAGGATGTGAACCTGCAGGGCCCTGGAGCCTGAGTGTGCTTGAGAAGCCGAGCGCCCTCTCTGCCTGGGTAGCCCTGTCCTTTCTTACACTGCACTGCGGCCCACTTTCTGTTTCTCTGAACTGGACATGGCCACTGGGGAAAATCCCTTCCCGTGCTAATAAGTTTGCATTTTACTATTAAGATTAGTCTCAGCCCATTTCCCAGAATCTCCGCCCTTTATTTTTTCCGGTGTTAGAATTGAATCCAGAGTGTCACACATGCCAGGGACACACTGTTCCACCAAGCCGCATCCCAGCCTTGTATTTCCCAGGTACTTAAAGCAGGAACCTTGATGGGTGAGGTTGGTCTTGTGAAGTCCTGGAGTCTGCTGAGGCCAAGGGGCGTGGTCAGGGGCAATGCAGGGCCTCTGGAGCTACTCCAGGTAGCTGCCATAGCTGAGCAGCCACAGAAAGGCCAAGAAGAGCTGTTAGGCAGGGTGCCACGTTACCTCATTTTCAGTCCCCTCCTCATCCTTAGTAATTAACTGTAGGTAACAACACAGAGCTTATTTTGTCGCTTGAGTTGGTGTGCAAACAACAGACTGTTATCCTGCTCCTTCTTTGCAGTCTCTTTCAGCCCTTGACTGAGCAGGGAGCATTCCAGAATTTAGAAATAGTCTCACTACCTTTGTGAGTTCTCTTTGTTGCCCCAGCAAAGAAAGGCCTGGTTCATGCCCTCTTGGAAAACGTGTTGAAAAAGACCCCAGTGTCCGTCATTGTCTCATTTTCACCTGCTGTTTCATCTTCAGTGGTCCTGATTCAGGTGCCTGGAGCCCTGGTGATTGTGGACTAAAGGGGCCTGTGATGGGGGACGAGCAGGGGCAGGAGATGCCTGTGAAGTCCAGCAGGAGGCATGTGTGAGAGTCAGCTGCCCCACAGCCCTGCTGTTTGCAGCCCCGGCTCAGCCCTCCTCTTTCAGCTGGTCTGCAGGGGCTGTGTGCTGCTGTGGCACCTTTTCTGGGGAGTGGGCATTGTGGTCAGGACAGTGTGGGGCTGCTGAGGGCCCGGGCCCTTTGCCCTCGGGCAGCGTCTCTAGTCCTAGGCAGTGTGATGTTCTTGGCTGGAGCTTTCTCTCTTGCTGGGAGAAGCAAAGAATCGAAGTCCTTCAGTCAGCCACTGCTCTCAGACATCAGAGGGGAACAAGGACACTCTGAATGCAGATGCGGGTTCTGACAGCTCCTTTCTCTTTGAATTCCTGCAGCATTTATAAAGAGGCTGTGCGGATTGGTGTCTTATTATTTATGGCTGAATGCTGTTGCCTAGAACCCTGCTTCTAATACTAATTGCCAGTGGTGCATGGGGCTGGTGCTGACTGGCACAGCCGCCAGCCTCTGCATTTAATTTGCTTCCATCAGGTGAAGGAGGTAGGCAGGTTGCATTATAGGCATTTAATAGTTGATAAAACCTGAGGTTGGCTGGGTAGGGTGTGTGCCTGTGATGTTTTTCTCTTCAGTCACAGTGCTGGTAAGAGCTCAGACGAAAAGCCTGGCTTCTGATCTCTAATTTCATATTCTTTTCATCCCAGAGTGCAACTGTATTGTGATTCCTTCAGGCTAAGACTGGCTTAATCATATTTGTTTTTCTCATCTCTTATCTGTCCACCTATCTGTTTTATCCTTCTATCATGTTCTATAAAGAATTAAGGCTGCCTATGAGAGTATGTGTTTCTCTTTGTATCTTGTACATGTAGGAAATATGAAAACAGCCATTGCGGTGCACACCTGTAATCCCGGCACTGTAGGAGACTGAGGCAGGAGGATCATGAATTCAAGACCAACCTGGGCAGTATAGCAACTTAGCCAGACCCTACTTCAAAATAAAAAATTAGAAAGGCCTGGGGATGGAGTTTGGTGAGAAGGCTCTGCGTTCAATCCCCAGGATCACATAAAAAGAAATATAAACACATGTATTTATAATAACATGATAAAGTAGATGCTAATACCTGACCTATATGTAGCTACTTTACATTTATATATGCATGTGTATATGTGTGTATATTATACTACATAATAGGTCTATTAATATGTATATAAGTATGTACAATCAAATAAAAAACCAGTTAAAAATAAGACCAGGAAAACATAGGTTATCCAGGTCACAACCAGAAGAGGAGTTAAAATACATACTCAGACCATAGCACTATACACAGTTTACTCTGTTTGGACCAGACTTTGAGCTCAGAGCCAGTGAGTGGTTGAGGCAGGAAAAGTATTAGCGACGTGGTTCATGTGGTCACAGCAGAGGGGTCCCAGACACCCAGTGTTCTTCCAGGCCATTGGGTCTGCAGGGACTTCTTGCCTGCGTGCTCATGAATGGGTGAGCAAAGTGCGTGGCACGTGGGCCACTGCTCTAGACCAGTACCCGTGGCAGACTCACTAAGGAGGCACGGGGCTGGGGCAGCCACACGGACCTTCCAAGCGGTGTCTTGGGCAGCTGTTGTCTGTGGTTTACCATCTGCATAAAAGGCCGAACCTGCTTTTCCTCTGGCATAAGGGTGATGGCAGTTCCTGGAGGGATTCTGAGTGGAGAGCCACCGTAAGTCCCAGGAAGCCCTTCTGCAAGTGTGGCCCAGGGGGTCACTTCCTGTAATCTTGATGGACACTCCTAGAGTGACCCATCAGGGTGACAAGTGGTAGGAGGATGTGTCTCGAGGGACACAGGTACACACTAAGGACTTATAACTGGTCAGTTGCTCATCTGTTCCACGGGTATTTACCAAACAATGATTATGTGCCTAGAATGCGTGCCTGGCGTACTCTGCTTGCTGCTCTGGTCCTAGCTGAATGTCACTGCCTCTGGGACACCTGCATGGGCCCGTCCATCTGCATCTGCACTCATGTTCATGTTACCACATATCTTTCTTGATCATAGCTTGTCCTGACATTTATTTTTGTTTGTTTAGTAGGTTTCTTTTTTCCTGTCTCCAACATGTGAGTTCCGAGATACCAAGAATGGCATCTGTCTTGTTCACCCCAGTCTTCCCAGTCCTCAGAAAGCATCCGGCAGATAGTAGGTACTAAATTAATATTTAATATTTTATTAATAAATTAATATTTGTAGAATGAATGAATAAAGAATAGAGGGCAAAGATGAAGCAGATTTTTTGCCCTAGCCCAGAGCCTCTGCACTGAGCTACATCCCCAGCCCTTTTTATTTCGGGATTGCCTTGCTAAATTGCCTGGGCAAGGTGGGTTCAAATTTTCAGTCCTCTTGGCTCTGTCTCCAGGGGTGCTGGGATCACAGGTGTATACTACCATACCCAGGTACTGGTGCACACTCTGTCTAGTAGGAGATAGACATAAATACAGCATGTGGCAAAATGCTCAGTGCTGGAAGAAAAGGACAGGTCAATAGGGAATTTTAGGGTGGGAGAGACATCTTCCAGAAGGAAAACCATGTACTGTAGCACAAGCCTGGCAGTGACTGTCAAGTAAAGCCTCTAGCACTGTTTGCTGGCTCCTGAAGAATGAGATAGGTAAAGGACTTCTGGGGCCCTGAGAGTGGCAAGACCAAAGAGATTCTGAGGCAGAGCCATGTTGGGTGCTTGTACAACAGTATGAGGCGTGGCCGCAGCAGGGAAAGTGAGGTGGACCAGCTGCTGGAGAGTCCCCCATGGGCTTAGCTGGGCAGAGGAGGCAGGCAGCAGTGTGTGAGTGGATCCAGGGTTGCTGAGAGGACTCTGAGGCCGGGAGCAGAGTGTGATCTGGAGTGGCAGAGGCCATACCTGGGGAGAATGAACAGCCTTTCCCCTGGACTACATTGCAGTTAGATCATTTTAAACCATTGAAATGTTTTATTTAAAAATTTTTCCTGTTTTGAGAAATTACTGTATGTTCGTGAGGCCTTGTCTCTTATGCCTGTTGGCCTTGGGGACCACCGTTTAGCTACACTGGCCCAGGACCCCACATCAGCCATGCTATCCTGGCCCAGCTCTCCAGAGCAGCTTCTTGTAGCTCAGTTGCCAAATAACATGGCTGCTAGCACATTTCTAAAGCTGAAGGTAAAATATATGTGTATTGCACTGGTATCCTTTTATCTTAAGCATTTTTTAATGCTTTTATATTGCAGTTATGGGTTTATTTTCCTCATTTCCCTTCTCTTGAGCTTTTCAAAGTATTTTCAGTCACTTGGCTTGGGACTTTTAACTTTCCAATTTATATTAATTAGCAAATGACTGTAGCTTACATAGGAGTCATTTGTTTTATCCCTTTTGCCTCCTTCCTGCAAAAATTTTTAAAAAATTTCCTGCAAATCTTCCGTGTGGGTTCATTAAGCCGTCTGGCATTTCCATTCCCGATCAGCCCAGAGTGGGAAGTCATAATGGTGATGAGCCTTGTTGCTTGTGGTTCATCAGCACTGGGTGATGTTGGGTTGACAGATGCCAAAGGGTGCATGTTCCACACGTGTCTGATGGCTCTCATGTCAGCATATCAGGCTTCCTTCCCATGTGCACACGGGTTGCACTAGTGCGGAAGACTGAATGTAGAGCCTGGGAGATGGGCCAGAATCTGGGGTGACCTGGGCAGGCTTCAGTTGCCCCTGGGATGTGTGTGTGTGTGTGTGTGTGTGTGTGTGTGTGTGTGTGAACCAATAGGTAAGTGCCAAGGGAGCAGATCACACATGGCGACAGACAGAAGAGGTCATACCACCCAGGAACCACGGAAAAAGCCCACGGTAAAGTGATTCCCTTTGGGCTACATAGATACGGCGGGGGAGGAGTGACACTAGGGTTTGGAAAGAAAGTGCCCTCTGCAGGGTGGTGCAAGCCTCCTGAGGACGGTGAAGAACAGGGGCAGAAAGCTCCCATTCTATTTATTCATTAAGACGTTTGGCCTAATTCCTTTAGGATATGTGAGTATGTTCACTCTTCCAATTCCTCAGGGATCTAGACTGCAAATGACCAGAACCCAGCTCAAACTGGCTTAAGCAAGAAGGGAGATGAGTCTGTGGGTCCAGCAGTTTGGGAACTGAAACGGTGTAGGCATGGGTGGATCCCACCCCTGGTAATGTCACTGAGATTATGTATCTCCATCTCTGAGCAATGCGCTTCAGCTCTGACCGCTGTCTCTTGGCTATCATTAACTAACATTATTCACAGACAAAGGCTGTGTTTCTAAGGAACTCTGCCAAGAGTCCAGGGAAGACGCTGGGTGACTGGGCCTGTATCATATGCCCAGCCTTGAGCCAGTCACTGCCCAGGAAGTGGGGATATTGGTGGGCTCCAATTAGATTTACCCTTGAGGAAGAGGAAGTAGGGGCCAATTTCTCAGTCCTTCTGGCCCAGAGGAGGAATCATCCTCACATGGATGCTGGCCAGGCAAGGCGGATGTCCATTATGTAGGGCAGCAGAGGTGGCATGGTCCTCTCAGCACACCAGTGTACACTGCACTCTGGAAGAACAATGTTGAGGCTGCCGTCTGTTAGCAGTAGAGTGGTGTCCCCGTAGTTCTTGATTGTGTGAAGGGTGTACACTCAGCTTCTTCACACCTCTATGTCTAATCCACCCTGCTTCTGCCAAAGGAGGTGTCTTTCCATGCCACAAGCTGCTGTGAGCCCATGGAAGCCACTCTTCTACCACTGTGCTTGACCCAGAGTGTCCAAGATTATGCTGGTCTCTGAGTCCCCAAATCTAGCTCCGATGTCTACAGCAGGCCGTCTGCCTGCTGAAGTTCATGTCTCTTCCCAATGCTTGAGTTGGCTCAAGGCTTCACCTGCTTCCCATGTCATCTATAATTTTTGAACTGGTCAGTCCAGCCTGTGGTCACCAGGGGAAGGACAAAGTGGCTAAGCTGGACCCCAGCAAGTGAGGCTTTTCTCTTGCATTGCTTCTGAACTTAGAGCATGCATGGTCCAGAGGACCAGCTGTGTCCTAGCACATCTGCAAACTCAGCGATATCCCCGCTGATGTGCTTGGTAGCACATGATAGTACTTCTTAACTTTTTTTTCCCACAGTTCTTGGGTCAAACCCAGAACCTTGTACATGACAGGCAAGTGCTCTAACACTGAGCTACCCCGTCTCCCAGCATATGTCTCAAATTCTTGTTGGTGTGGGGGCAGGGTCAGTACTGGGAACTGAACCCAGGACCTTCATGCTGAGCTACATCATTGACCCTTTTTAATTTGTAATTTTGAGAAAGGGTTTTGCTAAGTTGCTCATACTTGCAGTCTCCTGCCTCAGGCTCTCAGAGTGCTGGGCTTACAGGCAGGTGCCACCCTGCTTGGCTATTTCTCAACATTTTTAACTGCAGAATTTTTTTTTTTCCAAATGAAGTCCTACCTGGAAGCCCCACGTATAACGTAGACAAAAGCCAAGTTGCTCGTGCTCAGGTTGGAACACTGCCTCCACTTATTCTTTTTTTTCTTTGTCTTTCTCATTTTTATCGGTACCAGGGATTGAACTCACGACCTCACACTTGAAAGGAAGGCGTTTGTGCCACTGAGCTAAATCCCCAGCCCCCCTCCACTTATTCTTACCTCTTCCCTTTTGCCTCAGTAGCCCCGAAGAGGCATTTCATATTCCCAGGGCTCCTTAGTGGCCAGTTTGAGACCTCTGGGTGATTATGTTCATCTGTCCCTCTCAGCAACATCTATTCTGATTCCCCATGGGGATCAGGTTGCCAGCGTTATTTTTCTTATCACCAAAACATTTTCTTCCTTAGCTAGCTTGTTTGTACTATGAAAAGGTCAACAGGGAGATCCTTGTCATCTTCGTGCTCACTGCAGGCAGATGTCAGGATGTGAGCCGTCCTCCGATGGCCCCATTTCATTCTCCCTGTCCTCCACAAGGTGCCTTTGGGAGGCCATTTCGTCCCAAGCATTGGTCAAGTTACTTGAGCCTCAGAGGGAGCCCTGCCTTGACAGTGGAGGCTTTGGGAAATTTTAAGGTGCTGACCGCCTGTGTACTATCACTGCCTGTAATCAGTATTTTGGAGTCCTTTTCAAACTGCCATTTCTAACAAATGAAACATTCTCGACATTCGTGAAAATGTCCACACTGGAAAAAAAATACCAAAAAGCATGTAAACATTTCCCAAGAGGGCCTCTCCTGCTAGGAAACGTGTTGTGTCTGTTCAGTGACAAGCGTGTCCCTGAGATTTGGTGGCCTTGGCATGGCTTCCATCCACCAGGGAGAATCCAGGCCTTGGTTTGGCTCCAGCTGGGTCTTTCGGGTGGCTGCCACTTGTTGACTTTAGGCCCAGTGATTCAGATCTGCATCTGGCTCCTGGGTGCCCCTGACAACAGGGCGTGGGAGGGAAGCCCCTCCTCCTGCAAGGCTGGGCTCTGCTAGCCTTTCCTGCAGCCCCTGGGCCTCTGGCTTCCTGGTAGGTGTTCCTGGGGCCAGGGCTCCGAGAGCCCAGGGAGGTACCTTTGTGATTGTAGGAGTCAGGGTCCCAGTTCCTGTGGGGGGTTTTCTAGGATTTTGCTCACCCCCAGTGAAAGATGTGCGTCTGTGCAGGGAGTGTTTGGTTAATGGTTGCTGCGGAAGGGGCTGGCTTTTCCTGGCAGCCCCAGTCTGGGAGAGACTGGAGTTGGAACCGAGCCAGGGGCCTACGTGTGTCTCCCCACACCATCTGAAACTCTTTCTGCCCCATGCTTCAAAGTAGCCTGGTGGACAGGGATGTGTTTGGGGTGCTGGGTGGACACTGTGTGTGTTTTAATAGAAAGTTGAGCAGCAGGTGGGCCTGGGACCAGGTGGAGAATGGGGCCATTACTGAGCAAATAGGACTGTGGTGTCAGGTGAATACTTTCTTGCATGTCCTCACTGTGTAGAGGACAGGCAGGGGCTGCAGGATCTGTCCCCGTCCCCCACACTTAGGTCAACGGGACAAGACTGACAAATCTAGATAGCCATGAGACAAGGTCAGGAACCCCCCAGGGCCACAAAGGGGGCAAAAATAAATAAATGAGGCAGCATTCATTACAGTGCTCAAGGATAAGAAGTGTCCAGATGAGATAGTTAAGACTTAATGATCTAAGGGGCTGGGGATTTAGCTCAGCGGCATAAGCGCCTG